CTCTCTCTCTCTCTCTCTCTCTCTCTCTCTCTCTCTCTCTCTCTCTCTCTCTCTGTGTGTGTGTGTGTGTGTGTGTGTCAGTGGTGGGTTTCAAAAAATTTTGGAACCTCTTCTGTAGGTGTGGCCTGCTTCCCGGGTCCACTGGTGGAACCTATTCTAACCGGTTCGGTAAATTTGACGAACCGGTTCTACCGAACTGGCAGGAAACCACCTCTGGGGCAGGGCCAGTCAGAGGTGGTATTTACCACTTCACTGAACTACTCAAAATTTCCACTACCGGTTCTTCAGAACCTGCTGAATACCACCTCTGGATTAATCCATATCAGACTTTCAGTATGCATTTCACCCTGTGAGATAGTTCACAGTTTAATCCAGAATACAATATGAGAAGCGGGTTAAATTCCTCTTCCCCCCCGCCCCCGCTTTGGTCTTGATCTAAATTTCCCTAAGCAAGCACCCTCCTTTCCCAGGAAAGGCATTCCTGTTCACAAAACCTGCCTAATCACATCTAATGATTGATAGATCCTGGCTATCAGGTCAGATGGCCAGTCTCTTCTGCTAGAATTCCATGGGACCAAGATCAAGCAAACAGATGAAAGGCCATCGCTCTTCCAATAGTTTCTCAACGTTCTCAGACTGAAGTATTTGGAACAATTGGTTCATGTGACAAGGAAGACTGAAAGAGGTTCAGTAGAACCTCTGGTCACAACCATCATTCATTCCATAACATTGGTTGCAACCCAATTTGGTCATGACCCGAACCTAATTTTGGAAATTTGGCACTTACAAAAAAAAATGGTGTGGAAGGAGAAATCAGCTGCAGGGGTGGGGGGTGGAATTGTGCATTTTTTGGTTGGAACCCAATTTGGTCATAGTCAGAAGCGTTTGTGTCTAGAGGTTCTACTGTATCTGTTACCTGTGGGGTTCCTAAGGGTCAACCCTGAATACAAAACAGGACAAGAGGTAACCAGGAAATTATGGACGGCCAGAAAATATAGTGATCTTCTCCTGTTTTGGCATTCAGATCTGTAGAACTACAACTCCTACATGTTTGTAGAAAGTTAATCGAACATTTGTAATCCTACCTATCTAGAGAATGCCAGTTCGGGGGTGGGGGGGAAGCAAATTTGGGTTATGACCAATGTCTTGTGCAACTAAAGAAAAAAGAGGAAAAAGAATAGAAAAAAGGATTTCCATGTTTTTATACAATACTAACCTTGTAAGATCTTGGGAGTTCTGGTTTCTTAATCTTTAAATACAGGAGACTTGCAACACTGATCCCGTTGAAAATCCAAGCTGTAAAGCTATATAAAGTAACATTGAGTAGCAGCGTTCCATGTGCAATCGTGCAATTTCTACTGCTATTAAAAATACACACCCAGATACCTCCCCCCCCACATATACACATACTACTTAAATATCAGAAGAATATACATAATATAGTACTAAATATCTCGTTCACTTTCCACAGTTTGACAAGACATCTACAATTAACCATAGATGTTGAAGTACATTATTATCTCTATTTTCATTTAGGAGACTAACTTATGGGCATCCATAGAGGAGGGGCATATAGAATGGTGCAAATGACACAAATAACGTAACCTAAAGCTAGTGTTTCTCAACCTTGGCAACTTGAAGATGTCCGGACTTCAACTCCCAGAATTCCCCAGCCAGCGAACGCTGGCTGGGGAATTCTGGGAGTTGANTGCTTTCCCTTTAAGTTACAGGCTGCCCATTTTAAAAGGGATGGTTCTTCAACCTGCCCTGGCTCTTATTTTAGTGAGGCCAAATTGAGTTCAGATGGTGTGCAAACCAGGTTATCTAGTATTTGTAAAATTACACAGAATGAGCCTGGGGACTCCTGGAGACTCCTACTCATGAGACCACCAGTGCAACATATCCTCTTTTACTGGGCAGCGTGGTTTTTTTTTCTTTTTCTTTTTTCTTTTGTCACAGCGAGGGCTTGGGGTTTTTGGAGATCCTCTCTGCCAGCTCTTCAAGGGGGGTGGGGAATTGCTTGAGGGGAATTGATCCTCCCCCAATGGGATTAAAAAGGGAGAAATCCCTGTTTAGGCTTTTGTGCCTGGGGCAAAAATCAAGCTAGGAAAAAACTTCCCACAGTATGATGAAAAGCTTCTGGATGGTGATATTTCAGCATCTTCAGATCAGACTGCCATGGTTCTGGAAGAATTTGCTCTGAATGGCAGGCAAGGACATCAGCGAGAAAGACTTGGAGTTACCCACAGTATTTTTCTTGGGATATCTTTAAAAATATGACACCCCCCCACAGTCCACTCATACAATTGTAGTTTAAAGTCTAAAAAAACATATGAAGAATGGTTACAGGAAATAAGCATGGCTAGTCTAGTGAAGAGAAGGACCAGAGGAGACATGATAGCAGTCTTCCAATATTTGATGGACTGCCACAGGATCAAGCTATTTTCCAAAGCACCAGAAGGCCAGACAAGGAATAATGGATGGAGATTTAACCTGGAAATAAGGAGAAATTTGCTGACAGTGAGAACAATCAACCAATGGAACAGAAGTTGGACTAGATGACCCTTCCAACTCTGTTAATCTGGTGTGTGAATAAGTTTCAGTATCTTGGTTATTGGCTTTTACTCTATTTATCCAAAAACGTAAGTCTCTTCATTTAAGATGATCCCACTCACTAGTAATAAAGGAAAATTGGACCAACCCCCCATCCCCTATGCCAAAAACGTATATACCTCTTTTATTACATTCTCAGCAAATCAAGGGCAATGCTATTTTACCTTTGTGTGAGCATGTTCAAACTTCAACATTACTTTCAGGGACACTTTAACTTTCTTTATCCTCCTAATGACACTAATCCAGAAGATCCACATCATAAATTGTCCTTATAACAAAGTTGTCCATATTTATTCCAAAATAAGACCCACTGGATTCCAGGAAGGTTACTCCCAAATATGTGCATGGCATTATAATGTTAATATTGGTATCACAATCTGGCAAAATTCATAATAAGTGCAGGATATAAGCTTGTCTTCCTGCCTATCTGACAGCATCAGGTTCAGAAAATAAAATGTATGAAATGTGGGATTCTATATGAAAGCTTGGCCTACATATCTCTGTCTTTAAATCATTGGGAGAGAAACAAAGATAGAGAAACAGTGGAAAAGTGGAAGAAAAAATATTCTTGGTTTTAGAGTATTCTGTAAGCAAGTAAAGAATCCACAGCCTTCAGCTCTCCACTCTTAATTGTTAGCCATGCTTTGTTCATCCATCTAATATTTGCTAAAGATTAGCTGGGAACATTTTCTAAAGGAGAATATTGAATCCACGCATCCTAAATTTTAGTGTCTTCTTTATTTTGTTCGACTTAGCAAATACTTCTAATCAACAAAAGGGAAAAACCCTCCATTCTTCACAGACCTCTAGTTGCTAAATAGCTCTAAACTCTTGAAATGTGTATTTTAAAGAGGAAATGTAGCATGATAAATTGTCGCTTCTATAAAATCAAGATGAGTGCTTTTGCTTTCAATTTAGCACAAAGTTAGGAAAGCCATAGCTTGCCTTTTGTAACAATCTGGGAGACTAAGATTGGAAACTATGTTGTCGTGGATAAAATTGATGGCAGTATATATCCACGTAGACGTTTAACCAAATTGAAGCAAGAATGACTCCCTTACAGTATATACAATACATCATACAGCAAGGCAAATTTAAATATCTGGAATGTGGTTTTTAGAACTTGGATAGAAACTAGCAACTATAATGGTAGATGCAAAATTTAAATATTTAAATTCTGACTAATAATTGAGTCAAATGGAAGAGGAAAATGTATCACTAAAAGCATTTTTTCTTTGTTTAGCTGTGCTTTTTAAAGAAGCATAGTAGCGTTGTTTTATCTTGCTTTTATTTATTTTTTTGCATTTTAATATTTTAACAACAAGACATGGATTATCAAGATAAATGGGAAACACTCTCATCAAATGGTGTATTTGTTTAAAAAAAATATATCAGAAGCACATTTATGCAAGTATGGTTTATTACAATCATACATCAATATAAACAAATCCCAGCAGAAAAGCAATTCCTAAACAGGTTGAAGTACACATAGATGTGCAAATTCTGGGATGCACCAAGCCATAAATATGCTTATCTCTAATGCAATGTGCGGATGACCTTTGGGAATGAGGGGTAGAGAGGCTGCCTAGGAAACCATCATCCCGCCTCTCTTGTCCCTTCGTTTCCTAGGCAGCATTTCTTCTTCTCCTTTGCCAAGGTCATCCATGCATTCCAATGCATGAAGTGAGACATGATAATCAGTCGCATCAGAATACCCTTCCCATATATTCCAGAGCAGTGTGGGGCTCCACCTTCCCCCAAATTAGATGCATGTTAAACCCCAGAATGTACCGTACATATTTTGATGTAATTTAGGAATGCATATTTGGAATAAATATCTAAAATACATTTATTCATGAATATATAATGACATTGATATTTTGTGCAGATTTTTAAATAAATCACAGCTGAAAATTAATTATGGCTTGGGCAGCATCCTGAGGTAAAATATACTGCCCCTGCTGCAACAGTTATCCTGTTTCCAGGATGTCTGTTATCCTGCCACTATTATTAGCAAGTCTTTTTCTAAATATTAATGGGATTTAATTGACTTGAGGGACTCAAGTTGTGCCCGCCAAATTCCATATGCCAGGGGTGTCAAACTCAAGGCCTGTGGCTGAATCCGGCCTACGGGGTGTTGTAATATAGTTGCAGAGCCACGCTGAATCACACAGGAGAAAACAAACTCCTAAAACGCCATAACATCCTGATAATGCATAACATAACATTCTGAGATGTGCCCTACCATTGACGTCCAGGATTTGACCATATATAGACTGAGCAGTAGATTAGAAATTGTACTTTTACAGGCTGTTTTTACTCACATGCTATTGCTCCTCCTGCCTTTGTCCTATCTCAATAAAAGGGGCTCTCAGACCCCCAATCTGGGTCGTCGCTCCATCCCGAGAAAGGTTGTCTCCTGTCTTTTCTCAACATTGGCCTCATGGGCAAACCACGGGAATGTTACAACGGGGTGCTTAGATCTGGCAAAGGACTGACCCGTGGTGCATCTGCTAGCAAAAATGAAGCTTCCCTCCCATTTTCTGGCTGCGATGGCCTCCTGCAACCCCTCTGCCAGTGAAAACGGCCTTGCACAGCCCTCTTGAGCTCTGTTTTCTCTGGCAGAGCACTCAGGCCACCAAAGGTGCCCCTGACATGAGTGACATTGAGCTGGCCACGCCTACCTGGCCACGCCCACCTGGTCCCCCAAGGTCAAACACAACCCTGATGCAGCCCTCAATGAAATCGAGTTTGACACCCCTGTCATATGCCATATTTATCTGTCTGCATAGTGGCTTTTTGAGCCACCTCCTCTGTGTGTCCATGTATTCCTCTTAACTGTTTGATATTTCAAAATATGTTGCAGAAATTAATCATATGCTATGATAGTTTCTTTGGCAGCAGCCCACGTTCTCCATCGTTAGATTCTCAGCCCTTGTTTGCTTGTCATTCATGGTCGGTCAAAGTCCTAGAATGTTTTCAAAACACACTCCAACTTTGCCCACCTACACACCTATCCCCTTTCTCGGCTCTCCTTTCTTTCTCATGGTTTAAGAGGACCATATGTTTCCCCTAGAAAATAAAACCTTCTATTACCATACATGCATAAGCCTGAGCTGCTCGCATATGCTCATGTCATGATAATTTACAAAGAAAAAAATTCACATGGTGATGATTTTTTTTACTAACAGGTGCTTGTGAGTAGGCAGTGGCTGAGGCCAAATTATGTATCATCCTCTGAAGTGCTGTCATGCTTTCTTATAAAGTTATATTATGGCAGTATAACAAACAGGAATGATTTGCCTCCAAGTAGGAAAAGGAACTGATGAGGGCCTTTGTGAAGATGTCTATACTGATATTTAATCAGTGGTGGGATTCAANTTTCTCAACCTTGGCAACTTGAAGATGTCCGGACTTCAACTCCCAGAATTCCCCAGCCAGCGAACGCTGGCTGGGGAATTCTGGGAGTTGAAGTCAGGACATCTTCAAGTTGTCAAGGTTGAGAAACACTGCCGTAAGGTGTCCAGAGTCATTGACAGAGATGGGCAGATACAGAAATTGAATAAATAAATGAATCAATTTTTCAATTTGCAGTAAGAGCAGAGACATCACACGCATGTGATATTTTTACACTTATTTGGAATGTCATTTCTTAATCGTGGGCAACATGTCCCCTCTTCCTTTGTTCTGCGATAGGCAACCAGCTGTTCTCCAGGACTTCATTCTTGCTACCAATGGAGATGCTAATATAGCTGAGCTACATCTGAGAATTTTCAGCCAAGATGAGGTACAGAGCTAAGCCATTAATTGTCTGGAGATTTGGGATTTCCTTGCCTAAGTCAGGAGACCTGATATCAGAGGTGGGTTCCTACCACTTCGCCGAGTAGGTAGTTACTCAGCTGACCACAACCCAGAACTGGTTCTATGGCACCGCCATCTTGTTTTTTGCTTCTGTACATGCACAGAAGCAATTTTTTACCTACTGTGCATGTGCGCATAGCGCGCGCACGCCCAAAGCGCATCCCTGAGCGAACCGGCAGTAGAAGAAGCTGGAACCCACCCCTGCCTGATATCCACATTCTGATGATACCCAGCTCTGCTTCTCTTTTATACCTGAATTGGGGAAAGTAATCCCTATATGTAAGACTCTAAAGCATGTTAAAATGAAGATCCAGTAGGTAAATGAGTTCCTTTCTGGGGAAGTTGGTAACTTGGTTATCCTGAAGAGAATTGCATGGGAGGGGCAGCTATATAGCCTGGGATATTTTTTTAAAAAATATTATAGGCACAAGGCACAAGTGACTGCAGCAATAAATGACATATTTTAATGATACGAGAGCTACAAAGAAATACAAATGCAACTGCTGCTCTTAGATAGGAAATAACATAGCCAGGGTTACACATGAACTGGAAACTCCACAGTCTGATTATCTTCTAACCGGTTTGGTAGATTTGACGAACTGGTTCTACCAAATAGGTGTGAACTGGTAGGAACCCACCTCTGGCACCTTTGCACCTGACTGGAAGCAGCTGGGCATAGGTGCTAGCGTGGAAGAAGACAATTGGACCATGTGATGGATTGTGGGTGTGGGGACAAGATCATGAACTTTTAACTGGGTGGGATTCTGATGTAACTTCCAGAATTGGGATTTCAGAGCATAATTCCAAGATGTCTGATCTATTAAACTGGAACTTTAAGGATTGTTTTGCCTTGGACTCTGATTTAATTTTACATGATACTTGGAACACTGACAGGCAATATCACTTTCATATATTAAAAAAAATCAAAAAGAGGCTGAGAGATCAATTTCATTGAGTAAATTGTGAGTAGCTAGAAATACCCACCTGAAAAGGTTCACTATCTTGTTGAAACTCGCAGGTATGACCATTATTATCGACACCACACAAGTAAATATGAGAGCGGGAAAAGGTGTAAAATAACGTATATGAACCATAGATAGAAAGTCGGGCTGAAAAGGAAGACACAAAAACAAAAGACCATAACTAACTATGTTGAGAGGTTTGCTTTGCTCCTTCACCCTCTATTCCAACTCTCGAAAGTTTTAATGAGTAAATGAATGAAGGTTATGTTGTGAGAAATAATTTGAAATCTCAGGAGCCACAGTAAGTTCAATGGCACAGCACGCATGTCATTTGGAATTACACAGCTGTAATGGTCTCTCTGCCAGCAGCCCACCAAACTTATTTCTGGCATGTTAATTTCTCTAGAACCATGATGGCGAACCTATAGCACATGTGCCCAAAGTGGCACAAGGAGCCATGTCACCTGGCATGCGCAGCATCATCTGTTCCTCTTCGGGGTTTCTGGCACGCATGTATGCACAATGATCAGCTTGCCTTCATGTACGTGGCGGTACTGGAAACTGGAAGACCTGGCCTTCCTGATCATCATGCGCGCATGCACAGCAGAAACCGGAAGACTAGCTGAAACCGGAAGTTCATTTTCAAGCACATGCACGCGCCCTGGGCAGCTGTTCTTTTGGGTTGCGGCCCAGAGGAGAGTGTGTGCCAAAAAGGTTCACCATCACAGTTCTGGAACATTGTATCTTTGAACTAAACCCGCTTGAATTAGAGGCTACTGGTTTTCAAGGGGACATCAGGGTAGGATGCCTTTCTACAGTTGTATTCAGGACAGAATACCCTTCTGTTTCCTCTTGTTGAGTACTTGCACTAGTGGTGGGATTCAAATAATTTAACAACCGGTTCTCTGCCCTAATGACTATCTGGGTAGGTGGGGCTCGGTGGTCATGTGACTGGGTGGGCTTGGCCAACTCAAGGCCACTCAGGTCGATGGACACTTCGCCTTAGCTGTTACAATGTAATAAGGGTTAACGGGAGAGGCAGTTTCTGTAAGCAGGGCAATAAAGGTTAGGCTAGAAACAACACCAGAATGTTTCCTTCCTGCCTTCCTTACAGGATTAGCCCTGTAAAGTGGGAAAAAACAAAAGGAGATTTCTTCCAACAATCGGTTCTCTGAACTACTTAGAAAGTTACCAACCGGTTCTCCCGAATAGGTGCAAACTGGCTGAATCCCACCACTGACTTGCCCACTAAGTTCCTGTAGTGTTCGGAAATTCAAAATGTACAGCTCTTCTGGCAGAATATAAACCAATCAGGCCCAAGCTGACACTTCCACACTATAGCTCTATACAGTGTTCCCAGCCAGCTGTTGGACTCCAGAGTTAGAATTTTATAAGCTACCCTAGAGTAGAGAAGGGAGGAGGTGAATAATCGTCAGATTGATAAAACATGGGTATCCATCACAAAATAATTGATTTATAGCACAGTACTGTAACATTTATTCACGATTGAATATAGTAATAATTGTAATTGCATTTCTGCTACAACCTTGTGTAGGAGGGTAAAGCATGCTATTAACATACAGAAGAACTGAGCGTGTGGTTTCTGCTGATAAAAATTAATATCCATTTTTCATTGAACAAGAGAGGCGTGCAGGATTGTGATCAGAAAGTTACAACCAATTCCCAGAAGCCTCACTTGTTTTTCATTGATTCGTTAGTTTTATCTATATACAAATACATTAAAACTCAAGACATTGGAGCCAAAGTAAATATATTGTTCTCAATTCCCATTAAGATAAAAGATAACTACTGTAGTAACTATCTTGTCCTATTAATTCCAATAAGTTTTATATACAATTAATTTATACACTGATGCACACGCCTGCTCAAAAATAATTTAATTGGATTTACTTCTGGGTACATAAGTATAGTTTTACATCCTAAATCTGGATTCAATTTTATGTATTTCCAAAAATCCAGTAGCCTGATATAGCTGACAGCTAAGTAAACAGTCTTAGTTTTAAATGAGTTCAGGACCATTAGTTGGTTTAAATGACAGAATTTAAATTGTCAAATTAGCTCAAGTGAGTTACAGGTAATTAAAAGTGTTAAACCTTAATAGAGAACGTAAGTTATACAAGGAATTTATGGCATGTGAAGCACTGTGTCTTTCATTCTCCCATCCTGCCCATGCATTTTATTTTATTTATATATTGTCCTTTGGGTTGTACACCAGGGGTGGGCTGCTACGGACTTGCCCGGGTCGGGAGAACCCGTAGCTAAAGTTATGGCCAGTTCAGAGAACCTCCAAACCCTCCACCAGCTGGCCCTGCCCACCCCACTCTTGCTACCCCACCACACACATGCCTCCTTTGGGGGGCGTTTTTGGCCATTTTGATTGTTTTGGGGACCGTTTTTGGCCGTTTTTGGTCGTTTTTGGCTGTTTTTGGTTGTTTTGGGGGGGCGTTTTCAGGCCATTTGGGGGCAGTTTTCAGAAGAGCTGCTGGTGACAGCTTGCATGGCCACAGAGAGGGCTCTGTGTGCCACCTCTTGCACATGTGCCATAGGTTTGCCATCATGGGCCTATGTGGAGGCTCAGAGAGGGGGAGAAACGGGCCTCTAGGAAGGCCTCTGGAGCCTAGGGGAGGCAGTTTTCGCTCTCCCGGAGGCTCGAGGAAAGCTTCTGGAACCTTGGGAAAGTGAAAAGATCCCCCCACTGTGGTGCAGGAGGCTGACTAGGCAATGCCCAACATGGCCATTCTCACCTAGCAACCGAGCAGAGAACCCGTTGCTGAAATTCTTGAAGCCCACCCCTGTTGAACCCCCCTAACAAGATGCAACCGCTGACTAGAAGACAGCTTTACAATAGCAATAGCAGTAGACTTATATACCGCTTCATAGGCCTTTCAGGCCTCTCTAAGCGGTTTACAGAGAGTCAGCATAT